GACTGCGATCGCCGGGAAGCTCAGCCTAGTGCATTACGGCTATTCCAGGTCCTTTTTTTTGTGCTCGGATTTTAACGGTTACTCATCGTACTTTGAGAAAGAGGTCACTGTACTCTCTCTTATTCTCCACATCATGGCGGAAAAATCCTTAGACGAGGACACTGTGAACACCAGTGACCGCAGCTGGGGTCCTTCCACCGAATGAGGCCACGCAATCATAAAGATCAAACGTTAGTAGTCGGACGAATGTTGGGTCTGTAGCAAGGGCTGCCACGACAAAGAGAACCATCTTACTTCTTCAATGTTGTGATAAGCAGACCGACAATCGGATATGCACACACCACCACTCAGCAGGCAGGGTTAGTTCGCCACGGCTGTAAAGTCTCTACTCGTCTATGTTGCCCTGCCCCCTGCATGCTGCTGAACTACAAAGCGTCTGCTCTGGGTGGACATGACTCGAATTGCCAGGCAACCAGGGTCTTTTTGAATGTTGCTCCGTGTATCCATACACCCTGACACACTGAACAATGTCTCTCCAAAGAGAATTTTGTACCGATAGTTAGGCCCCAAGGTCAATCAAAAGAATGAGTTTTGCACTTTCACACATAGACGTTGCTGACTGTTCACTTACACTGAGTGTACTTGCTCCAGGTTTGAAGACGGTGTAGGAAACTGCATACAATGCAGTGCCACGCCCTACAGTGAGATGCCACAATGGAACACATGCGTTCCTTTGGCAGAAAAGGGAACAATAAAAGATAAGAAAAATGTCACTCATTTGTAGGGCCGTTGAAGCTTGGGGCCAACGTGAAAGAATTCTGATCACTGATAAGAAAACCTGCGTTCCAATCTTTGTACATATCGGGCCATGGTGGTCGACCGTAGCTGTAAGGTTATTTTTTTCAGCTGCGTGTTTCGTTTTGGTATTAAAGGCGTAGTGCAAGTATTGAATAGCCTAAACGCGAAAGCTGAGATGTATGTGGCGAGTGTGTCGTTTGAATCAACTGGAAAAGTCCTGACAGCCCTGATTTTATTTCGAGGGGTTTTTAGGGTTGTGGCGCTAATATGAATATGTATTTTTTTTCTAATATTTGGTTAAAAAATCCATCGGGGGCAAGTTCCCCCCCCCCTTGCTGGATACACCGCTGATTCCGGGTATGAAATAGGTTGCCCTTGAACTCTGTGAGTCGATAGACTGACTAGTAATTGTGCTATATTTCCACAGACTGTTGAATAACGTTTTACCTGGATGATGCTGCGCATGACATGGTGCAGCGAATGTCAACAAACAACACACTCAGATTCCGAATTTCCTCTGACAACGCAAAAGTCTAGCATCCTATAAACCAAAAGTCCCCCAAAACACTTACTGCACACATGTTCATAAGTGCATTACCAAAAGCAGTCGAGGACTGACGCCACATGCAAGTATCTGTCGCCCAAAATACGCTTCACAACTGTTATTTACCACATACCCCTTGAAGCTTGATGAAAGAAATTATCACTCTAATTTGAATTTGCATTGTATTTCAGTCGACTGATGGCTCTTACGAGCATGGGAATTCTTGATAACTATGAGGTAAGTGGATTGAATGGGAGAATACACGTACATATTTGTAATTTTGGTAGACCCGTTACTTGTTATGACTAATAATTGTGAAAGTACTAATCCTACAGTAATAACTAATATGTAATTTATTTATCATTAGTTTGTACCGGTATTTGGAAATAGTTTTAGTTCAATCAACACATAATGTAGATAATATCAATCACTTTCGGTCTGCAGTAGAAATAACAATACCATAATTTACAAAATTGAGTATTAGCAAGCATCTGTTAAAGGCTTTTTTGCTAAGCATTATAAATTCAGGAGTCTAATTTTGCCCATGAGTTTAGCAGCATGGAACAGTTACGGAAGTGCTACGTGTGTGCCTTTTGATTATTATTCATAACCGGGCGGGGAATGCTCAACATCTAATAAAAAAGTGATTAAAAAAAGATGTCGAAACAACTTTCTGGCTAAAACTTTGTTTCACTTTGACCTATAACTTTACTTGTACCTGGGTCTTCATCCAGCAGGTTTTGAGGCCTTTGTTAAGTTGCAAGACACCCCTGCCAGAGTTGATTTAAGTAGGGCATGGTGCCCTTGAAATCGTTTTCCTCTCTCTTACAGAGAATACGCCTTGGTATAAATGTCAACGTGGACTGCATACGGCATGTACATGTTCACAATAGCCAGACCATAACAGGACATGCACTTTCAGTCAGAACTCATAACATTCGCTGATCAGATACCGGCTGTTTATTTATTAACACCGTGTAGTCCTATTGTAGAAAATGTTCTTGGCGCCAATGAAATCATACACGTGATACATATTTCGCCAAAAAAGAACCCCTTACCATACTTTTTATATCAAATAAAAATATATATATGTGTGATATACAAAAGGACAAGATGCAACTTTGTTCTAAAATCAAATTTAAATTTCTCATACCAAGGTGTTAACATTATATGGAAAAAATCGTGTGTACAGAAGTCAAGGCTGAGAAAACTGACCTCAAATCTTGTCTTGCCTCAAGTCTTGACCTGACACTTAAAACATGTAGGACTTTGGTTATACCACGTTTCTAAATGGATAATCGGTCAAGAGCAAAGAGCTAGGAGCCTAGTTTAAGCACCAAATCAACGCAAGAAGAAAGACTACACGGACGAACCGCACACATGCCCCGTGGCGCGCAGAGTCCGCGACGCACACAGTTCGGCCAAAGCATGCCCATGCATGGTTAATTTATGGAGTGCGTGCGGTTCGTTGTGTAGTCTTTCTCCGTGCGTTGGTTTGGTGCTAAAACTAGTCTTCTGAAGCTTTTCGCTCTTCAGTGACTATCCATTTCGCCGCGCCTTGATCAAAGGCTAGTTTCGAGAGGGTTTATTCAATTCTTCTGCATCAGGTGGGTTTTTACTTCAGCCTTTAGAAATTCTAGATTTTCACTGAAGCCTCGCATGCTTCTCTGCATTTTGATCAGCCTGGCAAGAACACTTCCTCCTCCCTGCTCGCCTAGAAGTCCAAAGCCGAAAGTCCATTTATAATAAAAGGAGCGATGTTCTAATATATACAGCTTTGGTGGCAAACTCTCATCTGCGAACTCCTTCCAAAGGTAATCAACATAATTGTTGATGCAACAGTATGCCAATAACTGCCAAAAATAAGAAATATTAGAAACAAATACTTATCATAAAATATTGTTGAAAACGTGTCAAAAACTCTAAGGAATGTGGCAAAGCACTAACAGCAGCAAATTAGTCGGCAAAACTTTCGACAGTGGGAAATAATTCCGAGGTATTTTCAAAACAAATTGATGATTTCACAACCTTTACCCAATTCTCCTCTTTTTCCCTTTTCCTTCTTTGCAGTTGAATGAATTATGATTATTGATTAAAGCAAAATTCTTTTATTTTTAGGCAAGATAATTTTTAAAATCCACAACTGGGGCATAACTACAGATGGGGCCACTTCCGTTAACGTGTCACTGTACAAAAGACAAAAAACCACACACATTTCCTTAATTATTTAATAGTACTGGAAAAGAGGAATCTTCACACATACAGAGTGGCAGCAGGTCAAAAATATACAAACTCAAAAGTACTAAGATACACACATCATTCAGTATATAAAATGCATGAAACCTGGAGCTTTTCCGACTGTGACAACAGTTTAAAAACACTGGAAGCATTGCAAGGTCGGAGGCATGCAGGAAAAACTTTACTAAGTTTATGCAGATATATATAAAGATTGCTGAACTTGCTTGATGTAAAAAGTACAACCCAAAAAACTTTCTATGTACAGGATAAGACAGCATGATCATAATCTTATAGTTTACTCATTCACTGAAAAAGTAAAAACAATTAATATCAGTAATTTACTTGCTCTTGAAACTCTCAAACAAATTTTGAATAGATTACTAATGACTAAATACACAGATAAAAACACACTAAGACCCATTATATACACAAACTGTGAAAGGAATAAAACTTCATGATGAAATCTTTTAAAAACATCTCTAGAAAGTTTTCAAAGTACAGTAATAATGTTGAAACATACAGGACACAATGGTCGCAGGATCATGTTCGTGCTTGCAATGCAAAAACCAATAAACACTCCATTCAGTCAGTGGAGTGATTACACTCCATTCAAGTCAGTGGAGTGATTACACTCCATCTACAGCATAAGTAGTACTAGTGCAATTACATGTATTATGAATCAAGGCAGGTTTGGAGATTCTGACAAGAAATCAACTTTCATGAAGTCCAGTCTAGTACTGAACCAAGTTACAATTTATCACATAATACTGATGAATTTTTAATGTACCAGCTTCAGCAACATGTTTGAAGGCGCAGTACAATTTAACATTCTTACTAAAACGTGTATGTATATTTAAAATCACTAAAGCAGTACATCTAAAACAGGTCATGTTAATACAATAGATTTACAAAGTCATAAAACAAGGAAAATTAAAATTAAAATATTACAATAAGGTCAGACGGAACAAAAACAATCACCAAAACAAAACCACAACCACCGAAAATCGATAAAATATTTCTGTTTAACAAGAAAAGAATTGAGTTGTTCTTGAAGAGGATGGCAACCATTTGAGGCTGGATTTAAAAACAATCTGCAGCTTTAACCCCTCGATGACGGGAATTTCTTCCCGAAAGCCGACTCCAAGAATTCCAGCCTGGCTTGGCCACGAAGGCCACTTGCCAAACCGCAAATTCTCGGTTTGTGTCCCTGCGTGCTCAGCGTGCTTTGAATTACACGGTGAAAAGGCTGATTGTTCGGTGGCATGTGGCTCTACTCACCCTTCCACATTCCCGTTGCCTCTTTTCAAAGTGGGGACTATTGTGAAGCTGGTGATTATGATGCAAAATCATTTCATTTCTGGGCTATGCACAAATACCAATTACCATATATACAAGAGCCAGGGTCTGCCTTCTTTCACCATGTTCACTCGAGCGTGGGCCAAGAATAATAGCTGAAAAGCGGGCTGAGGTTCTCCATGTTTACGGCGGCTATAGCCACTTCCCGGCGGGAAGGGGTTAAAGAAATCCTGCAATCTTTTCTATCTCAACACAATCAAATCAGATGAATATTGCCGGTGTCTTCATTGACTACGTTATTATTCACCTCAATCTCCCCATCGTCATTCTCTCTTTTTACATTATACTTTGTCTCCACTGCTCTCTTCAGTAGCTTCCAGAATTCCTCCACCTGCCCCTGTCCCGTACCAGCCGGCCAAGGAATGAAAGAGACGGTGTCCAACAGATTGCGCATGCTGTGGCAGAGTTCCTCGTTACGAATCTCCCGGAACATCAGGGGGATAATGAAATTGGTCTGGTTACGAAGCATTTCGTCCATGGCACAGAGGAACTCAAAGTAGCACCACTCGCTAGCCATGAAGTCAGGGGACAAGACTAGGAGAGTCTTACGGCAGTTGGTGACTGCATAATTGATGTTGTCAGTAATTTCTACAAACAGATTAAGAATTAAAACATGATTTATTTATTTTAAACATGATTCATTTATTTATTTTAAACATTATTTGAGTCATCTTGGCATAAGATAAGCGATAACATTAAACATTTCACATGATCACAAAACATCAACACTGACCACTTTCACTGTTTCCCTGAGGAAAAAGCTTCATCCCCCCTCCCTCCACCAGACAAAATCCTAGCGATGCCCATGAGCCTGATATATGAGGCAAAAGTCACAGGCATGGTCCTAATTTTAACGGCATCACACGGAATTGAAGACAGGATAAATTTAGCACGGTGCTGTTCACCTCTTCCTGGCAGGAAGTTTTGGTAATGGATGCAGACATCACAACCCCATTCCTCCAGCTTGGGTACCAGACTACCGATCACAAACTCCTCCTCGTCTCCGCCTCCCTTATATGCCACAAAGACGTCATGTGACTTGCCCTCTGCTCCAGGAAATCAAATGTTAAGATCAGATGATTTGATATGCTCAAATACTGAAAAACCATTTTCAAAGAAAATATAACAGAACGGTAGACTATAAAGAGTGTGGTATGCCATTTGGTTCTCATGTTTTGGCAAAGTTGGTTCCTCTGGGGACAGTCAAGGGCTGAATCAAATAAGCCTTTTGTGAGGTAAATTGGAATAAAGTCTGGTACCCCGAGTCCTTTAAATTCACATGAACATAATTTGAATTCTACACGGTTGCTATACCTTGTGATTGGGGGCAAGCTTTTACTTTGTTACACAGAAGAAACCTTGCACCAATGCACTGTTTCCGATGGATAAGAAGGGCACAAAGGAACCAGTCTATTCCAGGGATGATGGTCGCTATGCAAAAGCTTGCCCCGGATCACGAAGTAAAGCAACAGTGTCTTTAGCTCGGGGAATTCAAATTGTTATGTTCATGTGAACTTAAAGGACTCAGTGTACCAATTTACCTCACAGAAGGCTTATTTGATTCAGCCCTTGACTTATGTTTATGTGCAATCAGATACCTTGATGTACAAGGTTTTATTCAAATCTAACTTGCAAAAATTTATCCCCACTACCGTTCAGGGGAAATTAACTGTAACTTCATCATTTTCTAATTCTTCAGATTGAGTCCACACTCAATTATTTCACCTTGATTTGAAGCTTTCGAGTTGTTAAAGAAGAGATCCTGTATTGTGCCACGATGTCTGTAGATCACGATGGGCGTAACTAACATAAGAACCACTAGAAGTGACAGAACTATTACCATAATCACCACTGGAATCTTGTCATCATCTGGGTCATCTGTCATGGATGGAGAGAACAAAGTTAACAAAAGGTTCCAGAGATGGGTTAGCATGCTGCTCGGAGGTTATGAGCCACAAACCTCACTTGATGACAGGAATTAAGACAAAGTGTCCGTCCACTATTAGACAATGTCGAGACCTTCATTCAAAGGTCTCTGTTCTTCAACATTTGCCATATACCAGGGGTGTGAGTGGCCACTTAAAATTAAAACTGAAAAAAGCTTACAAAAAGCTAAAATGTAAAAGGTTCCCATACTTTGTCCAGACAAACTGTCCAAAAAAAAATGAAATTCAGGGTCAACATCTAAACAAAAAAAGTCGAAATCAGCTCAGCTAAAATCTGAATTCTAACACCCCTGCATGTAAATTGGAATGCCCCAGTAATGAATGCTATTGTGAAATAGAAACTGGATCCACAGCTGCACAACATTTCATTGCAATGTCATCTTCATTAAAATGCAATGCGGTCAAGGTTAAGGTCAAAGTTACACATTCCTCATCAAACCACACATTTGAAGTTTTTGACTTCCTGCCTACTGCCCTTTGACAAGAAACTAAAGAGGGCGCTATCAATACCAAAGACTTTGATGACTGCTTTGCTGTTGTTGGTGCCCAGATTGTTAGTAGTGTAGCACGTGAGAGTCGCCATGTTGAAATCAGGATCTGAAGTGTGCACTCTTACCGATCTAGACAAAAACAGATAATTGACTCAATAATTAATTGATTTGCAGAAAATGCAGATCCCCTTTCTATTACTTAACCCTTCTGATGCCAGGAACTGCAATACTAGTCAACCAGTTACACATATTTTTAATTTTAGTAATCACAAGTCAATCAATCTTAAATCAATCTATTTAAAAAATTATTCCTTTGTTGTTGCTCATCCTCTGTTCCTTATGACAAGTCTTGTGAAATAACTTGTGATAACTTAGTGAGAACTTTGAATATTAAACTCTAAAGAAGACAAGTTATGCGTTGCTGTCTAAGAGGCTGTTCTTTGTTATTTGATACATTGTTACAATGAATGCACAAAAGGTTTCCTTGAGCGAATCCCAGAGGAAGAAGGAAATACCCTCCAATATGACAGGATACATATGTCAATGAAATGTCAGCTTAAAGGGGCACTGTCGATGAGCCTGGGTCAAT